TATGGTTTAATATATTTAAATAAAATAAATTATCCATAAGTCGTTTGTATTTGACATCCGATAGTAATTCCGATCGACATTTCATTTGCAAATAGCGTTGAAGTAAATGAATGTAAATATTTTGATGGCACCTATTTTTAAGATTAAGATTTAATTTAAGTAAAACATTTATAAAGGTAATTTTTATTACGGTACATTACTTACTCAACAAGTTTTCTATTGATTAGTTTCGGTCGATTTGGGTTAAAGTGTATAATAGCTGTTAACTAAGGGTATAATAAGTACATAAATTGGTAAAATTTAAAATTAATATTTATAAATTACCAAGTCAATTATAAGTGAGTCTGAATCCCAATCAAGTCCCATATTTTGCAAAAAGATTTTATGTAAACAATACGGACTATCATCGGCATCTGAATTGATTGGATCGTCTTTAAGTAAATCCAGTTTGACTAGATACGATTTATTATTCTGTATAAATTACACACAAATTAAACTATTTAAAAATTTTGACTAGGGTAGATATTACATACGCTAATAACAGTCCAATAATTGCCATCGAAATTAAAATCCAAAACCATTCTCAAGATCACCACTTCTATTGAGGAATACTTGATAAGAATAAGTCTATCATTTTCGCAGAAACTATCAAATCCTTTAAAACATTTGTACATTTTGACCAAATTTTTAACATGATCGTCGCTGTTAGACATTAGTACATGTAAGGCATCCCAATTACTAGTGATCTTAATTGAATGATTAGTTTTATTATAGACTTTCAACTCATTCATTGCGTCCATCAGTTCACTCAACCGATTGCCCTCTAATTCATTGAATTGATTGCTATAATCAGTGATCGGTCTTATTATGGGGCAAATGGACATATCCAGTGAATTGTCATTCAATTGTATATTAAATTCATTTGTATGAATACTTAATTCATTATTCGTATAATTTGTTTGTAAAGACTTATTAGTTTGATTTGTTTTAGGTGCTAGGTCCAAGTCAAGTTGTTTTTGTCTGCCCACACAAAACAGATTCTAATATGAATTTGATAAGCAGTCAAAATTAATTTTGCAATAAATTAATAAACTTATAATTCATACCGTTTTCATACCGACTGCTAAACACTTATTTAAACGACATTTCTTGCAATTAGTTCTGTTGTCCACATCTATCACACAATTGCCGCCCAAATAGCATTTCAATTGATCCTGAGTGACCATGATAACATAATTTCAATAAAACTAACTAAATTATAAACAAATAGATTTACGCCATAAATGAGTGCACTTCTCCGGAAAAATGATTTACACGATTCACAACTCATCACATCGTAATGACAGCCTTTTTAATACATTATATTCAATATTAAAACATTGCTTAAATTTTAAATTTTAATAAAACTTACCACTGGCAACATCACCGCATATTAAGCAATTCATTAATGATAAATTGATTTACTAATCATACAATATTGAACAATTTATTAAAATCTAATTAAATGTAATTAATAAAATAATATAATTCAATAATACTACATAAAATTATTAAAGAAATATTGCATTGCATTGAATCAGAAATTGTTGCTACAACTTTAGATAATTACTATACAACCACTTATCAGTTTAATAGTTTTTGAGTTAGTTATCCATTGTCAACATTTATATAATGATTTTAATTATTTTAAAAGAGTATACATTTGTGTTACTAAAATATATGTTACGATAACTATTACAAAATTGTCTCAATTGCATCGATTAATTAGCAATTCCCTATAAAGTGGCGAATGATGTAAATCAAATAAAATTGATTGTTTAGCCGCATTTGCCGCAATTTTGCCGCATAAAACAAATAAATATTGTAGATCATTTAAAAGTCTTGAGACTTTGGCATTTGATAAAAATCCTGACTTGTATTTCATTTGTAAATAGCGTTGAAGTAAATGGATATAAATATTATGTTGATTCCTATTAAACAAAAAGCAATGCTAATTATTACGGTACAAAATTGATATGATTTATTTATTAGTAATCTCATTCATAACTCACTCAATCAGATGTTTATTAATTAATTTGGGATGATTTGGATTGAAGAGTACAATAGCCGTTAGCTTTAAATAAAAGTCAAAACTTTAAAATAAATAAATTATTATAGCAAAGATAAATGAGTTAACCAGATCAATAATCAGGGAATCCGAGTCCAAATGGAGTCCAATATTTTCCAGAAACTCCCGGTGACTATAGTACACTCCATTTGATAAACCATTAAATGGTGATTTTGACAATAAATCCAATGTTATTAAGTTTGACCTATCATTCTGTTTATGTATTTAATAAGTTATATACAATAAAAAATGCAATTAAGTGTCAAACATTTAATATGAATGAAACTAACTTTAATAAAATTCCAGTATTTGTGCTCAAAATTAAAATGCAAAACCATTTGCAAGACTTGTATCTCAAGGGCCGAGTAGTGCAACAAAACTATTTGATTGTCTTCACCGAGACTTTTGAATCCATTCATCGATTTAGACATTTTGATAATATTTCTGAAGTTGTGCTCATTTTTCGATATAATTATACCCAAGGCTTCTAAACAGTTGTCAATAAAATATTGGTCTTTATTGGCCACAAATGGTTGTCTAATAATCTTCAGGGCATCCAATAGTTCAGTCAACTTATTGCCCTCTATTTCATTGAAACAATTACTGTAATCAGTGATCGGTCTCATTATGGGTGCGACGGTCAGCTCCGACACATTTCCATCGATTTGATATTTGTCACTATTATTACTATTATCGCAAACATTTGTAATTAAATGATCAGTTTTTATATTTTTACTTTTGATGACCACATCTTCAGCACAAGTAATGTTTAAATCAAGCGGTGATGGACTGGTAGTCCAGTCGTCTCCTACATGTGTGGTCTTTGCCATCATTTCTCGCTTTCGTTTCCGATTTTCTTCGACTATTGTTTTTCTCAATTGTTTTTGTTCTTCAGATAATATGAGTTCCTAATTGTATGTCATTTCATGTATTCGTAAATAAATGTTTCAAATAAAACTTCAAAAATACTCACACTTTTCATTCCGACTCCAAAACACTTATCTAATCGACATTTCTTGCATTTCTTCCGATTATTTCTATTTATGTGACAATTATTGTCATAAAAACATATCAATAAATCCTGTAATTATTAAAATCAGTTATTAATTATTATTATGTAGTCAAAATAATTTATAAATTAAGCAAGACTTAATTTTATAAGTAGAGTGAACTAGCCAATTGTAATTTTAAATGATATTTGGCTTAATGTTTGTCTAAATAATTGTTTAATTTATCATTTTATTTAAATTTTTTAATTACCGTATTTTTCATAGCATTTCGTCGAAAAAATGATTTACAAGATTCACAAGTGATTGCCCCAAAATGGTAGCCTATTTTATTATGTTTTAGTTGATTATAACAATTATTAAGTATTGCTTACCTGATGAAAAGTCGGCACAAATTAGACAAGGATTATCAGATAATTTAAGGGACATTTTATTGTATTCAACACCTCAGACTTTTAAACCAAGATATATTAATTAAAACAATAAATTAACTAAATGTATAAATATGTGAATTATTTGTGTACTTTGAGTATCATTTAATTAAATATAAACATAGATATAATTTTGCACTTGGGTTGATTTTTATTATCATAGTTACTTAAGTTACAGTGAATATGAAGTTAAATACTGTAATCAGATTATTTTACACATAAATATATGTGAGCCCAGAATATGAGATGAGTCTATGAAAAATTGCTTTTATTTCTTCTTGAAACATTGCTTTTCTGTAAAGTTTGAAATTTACTTATAGTAAACTTGATAACTTTCAAACTTTACAGAAAAGCAATTTTTCAAGAAGAAATAAAAGCAATTTTTCAGAGACTCATCTCATATTCTGGGCTCACATAATTTATGTATTTGACAATACAGTATCTTTTACAGTATATATCAGATTTAGAAAAAAGTTGTCAGTAGGACCCTGGTTAGTTAAAATTGCTTTATTCGATAACAAATATGTATAAAATAAATATTTTTAAACCTCAACTATGGTTTTTAGGCGTACGTATATCCTCGAAGAGACAACATGATTTGAGCACCGGTAGCTCAGCACAGGTAGGTGTTATAAAATATACTATATCTTAAAAAGTACAATTCACATCTCAACAATCGATAGCTCATTTGAAAGAGCATCAAAATGTAGGAAATACATCAAAAATTGTATTGTCCAAATATCGATATTTAGCGGCCAGGGAGGCCCAGTATGTAGGGCTGCCAAATCATTTTCGGGTCCAGGAGGACATATGGTTAATATTTAGGTTGGTTAGGAGGACACTAGGAGGACACATGTTTTTTGGTTATAAACTCAATTTATTGAGAAATTTGTATTTTTTTGGTTCATTTTACAGAATCCAGAATTTGTTTGTTGTCTTTTATATATAATGTTGTTTAAATTCAGTACAACTTAAATTAAAATTATCTTTAATACAAATTTCTGCTTTAAGTAAATTAATTTGCAAACAATTTCGGTCGTCTCTATCACAAAAGGAAAATACTAATATAGACATTAAAAATTGATTATTAGCTAATAAAATTTTTAAAAAGTGCATATACAGTTAATATTCTTAAAATTTTATCATTTTGTTCTCTGGGAGGACATTACATAGTCCTCCTGAGACCCTCGGGAGGACTGTTTTTTGAGGGGCCGATTGGAGGACAATCCTCCCAAAGGAGGACGTTTGGCAGCCCTACCAGTATGTCTAAAAATCTGACTTAACAATTTATAGAATCTACAAGAATAGGAATTCTGGAAAGTTATGATATGGAAAATGTAGATAATTTAATCTATCAATTCCTAATTTAGTAAACATTTTTCATCACGGCACCGGGAGGCATGGTAGGTGTTTTATTGTGAATCAACTAGAAGTAATCGAGTAAATCTAATTGATGCGTTCAATAGAGCACCAAATTTGTACAAGATTTACATTTTTAATTTTTCAAATATCTATTAAGATAACGTCCTAGAGCATTTCAAATTTTACAATTTTACATTGAATATTGTCAATGAATTGGTAATTTATAGGTAGAGTTGAGTAATATTACACGAATCGGTAATACGCGTCGATATAAAACAAATGAGTTGCCAAATATTACCCGGATCTGTTATATGCGTCGAAATACCTGGGTTATCATATTTACCTTAGATAAACGTAACGTTGTTTACTTACGACTCACGTGTTGTATTGAATCTAAGGTCAGTCGATACATATTGACTCAATCATACGTTTAGTCAGTGGTATTGACTCAAACACATTGTCACTCAACACCATTGTGTCGTTTGTGTCAACAATATATTTGTTTTCATTTCATTGCAAACCACTTTTAATTGAATTTAAATTATATTTGTGTTTTGTTTTAACATTTAATAATTGGATTAATAATTGACTACTTCTTAAGGTATTTGTTTTCAAAATATTTGTATAAATTTATCTAAATTTAATTTCAATAGAAATGACTGCAAATGGCGATACAATTCGTATTTGTATACTCTATGAGTTGAAACTCGGACATACAGTATCTGAATGTCCTAGCTACCGAAAACATACGTAAAGTATGGGGCGATGTATTGGTCGAAAGAACCTGTTTTGGATGGTTTGCAGTTTAAAAGTGGAGATTTCCATCTCTCGGATCAACCACGTAGTGGTCGGCCGTCAGTCATTGACAACGAATTGCTGAAAACTACTATAGAAGCAGATCCTCGACAGACATCTCATGAATTAGCCGTAATGTTTGACTGCACCGAAGGACTATTCTCTACCATCTTCACGAAATCGGCAAAACCTCACGTCTGGGTCGATGGGTTCCTCATAAGCTTTCGGACATAAGCTAATACAGTGCTAATACAGTGCTAATACAGTGCTAATACAGTGCTAATACAGTGCTAATACAGTGCTAATACAGTGCTAATACAGTGCTAATACAGTGCTAATACAGTGCTAAT